AATGGGGATCACAAAACTGTTGCAATACCTGAGACTGCACGGCGGTCTTCGGGCCTAGTATCAGGCGGTTGTCTACATATCGGAGAAAAAGCAGCGAAGAAGAGATCGCTGCAGGTAACGACGAAAGCAGACGAAGCCTTGGAGGAACATCAGCTTGGAAAGTTGCCGCCTGTAGCTAGAGCTTATCTCAGGCGGCTCCCTGTTGCGCGGGAGAATTCTGATGAGAGAACGCATGCCCTTAAGAGGTTGAAGTTCTTGATTATGTGGGATCCTGATACTACGAACTTGGCTTCTTCGCTTTCAGGGGCGGCTACAAGGCTCATGGATGATGCTCTCGTGCAACAGTCTTTCTCCGACGCCTTCAGGAGTAAGGCGACGGGAACCTTATTGAAGCGTGCAGGCTCGCTTGAGCGCTATTTCAGGTGGGCCGTTGATAATCAGATCTCCAGCCCTTTCTCTGTTGGGGAAGCTGTGATTTACGACTATTTGAGTTACTTACGCAGTGCCGAGTCTGCAGCTACAAGTGCAAGCCACTTCGTTGAGGCACTCAGGTTCTTGCATTCAGTTGCGATCCTGTGTCGCATGGACCTCTCCAGCGTGCTGTCTGCAAGGGTCCAGGGGGTGGCTCGTGACATGTATTTGGGAAAGCGACCATTGGAACAAAAGCCTCAGCTTACAGCTGAGATGGTTTCGGCCCTCGAGAGATTCTGTTCTCGGGCCGATCCTCAGGACGCTGTCGTTTGCGGACAACTGCTCTTTTGCTTGCATTCTTGTGCACGTTGGTCAGACGGCCAGCGCTTGAAAAGCATCGAAGTTCAGGAGCAGCAAGACGAGACTGTTCTCATTGCTGATGCCATGGGAGCAAAGACGGCGACTACTAAGGAAGCTAAGACTCGCTTGATTCCCTATGTTGCTATCGGCTCCGGTTTGAAGCACAGCTGGGCTCACGTCTGGGTGCAGGCCCGAAAGGATTTGGGTTTTGAGTTTGGCGACTTCGCTCAACCTGCTTGGCTTGACAGTAAAGGATCATGGGGCGAAGTGGCAATGGATGCTGCACAGGCAACCTTCTTTTTGCAGGAGTTCCTCATGAAGGAGGGGATCGAGCACGCGGAGGCCCTAAAGAGGTCCTCGCATAGTCTTAAGGCTACTCTGACCACCTGGGCGTCCCGATGCCCAACGGTGGCCTTCAGTCGGGCAGAGCAGCGGCTGCTTGGGCACCATATGAAGCCTAAGGATCGTTCGCCGTTAACATACTCGCGGCAGGCTTTTACCAGCTTGTATGGCAAGGTGCTCCTCATGTTTCATCATATCCGTGACGGGAAGTACGACCCCGATTTGAACGAGGTTGGCAGGATCGTCGAGGTGGCCAAGGCGGGGTCTGCTAGTGCTGAGCAAGGCGGAGGCCTATAAGCAACAACCCCGGAGCGCAAGTGGACAGCTCGTCATCTGGCGAGTCGTCCGACGGCTCGGGAGATCGGGAGTCTGAGGCTGCGGGCGGCGAGGACTTTTTGCGCCGGGTGCCATTTCGGGATCCCGTTGACCACTCCCTCCTAAAGGTTCATCGGTTGTCGGGCATCGTTCATCACTTGAAAGAAGGTGTGGATGCTCAGCAATTCTTCTGCGGTAGAATTTTAAGTGATCGATATATGCCTTTCGCAAGGGCAGGCCCAGCTGCGGTCGATCCAGATTTTTGCTTGCAATGTCAGAAGGCCCGAGACGGCTGGCGTGAGCCGAATCGTGAAAGAAAAAAGTATGGCGAGAGCTTGTTACGCGGAATCCAGGCGAGAAGCAGTGACCTCCTTTGGAGAGACCGTCACAACTCGCAACCGCATGTGGAGCCCTGCCTGGCTGCCGAGTGGGGGAAGCTTCGACCCCCGCTCGATCGGCAGCCAGAAACACCGGGGGATTGCTCGTCAGGTACGGTACAGCTTTGTGATTCACTGCGCTAGGCAGAAACTTCAGTTGGTGCGAAACCCTTGCACCGCGTTGCCGGGCCGAGAGCAGATCGACAGCAAGTCTAGGGGACATGATTGCATAACGTTTGATGTCTTTCATGTGCGCTTTGTGAACCTTTGCACTAATCCCTAGAGGGCTTGCATCGAGCCTGCCATGGCTGCTGTGACCTTGGATTCCGAGGCGGCCTTCAGAGAGAGATGTTTGAAAATAGGGATGGAGGAAGCAACCCTCGATGTCCTCATCACGAGCAACTACAAGACTTTTGGCCACCTGGCATTTGCAATTAGCTCCTCGCCAAACACGGCTGATGAGGAGCAAGTTCAGCAGTGGGTCAATACAGTTTTCGCTCGGCCTCCTACGCCCCAGCAGATGGCGTGCATCAGACGGGCTTTATTCGAGGCTCAAGCCCTGTCGATTTCAGATATGAAGAGCCGCGTCGAGCCTCAGTCTGATGTGCTTGTAAGGAAGATGCCAGTTGCCGAACGGATCGCTCGTCAGAATGCCCTTGAGCGTCGGTTGACTGGAGTGATTTTTGCTCCCGAAACCACTCCGGGGCATTCAGTGGTTGATCGTTTGGTAGATATGCTCGAGACGGGTGTCATGGCGTATCTCGAACCCCACAAGTATGTCTCGCGTTCGCAAGAGGTTCAGAATGTCAAATCCGAGAAGTCATTGAGCATTACAACAGATGGCAACTTGAAGGTGAATGCAAAGGTGGAATCGTTGACGTGTGAGGCTAGCTCGGCGTTGACACTGCGCCAGGCGTGGTCGAGGAGGAGCATCGCTTTCGAGCTTGCCGGGCTCGCCACCTTCACCATCTTGGAAGGCTGGGTTCAGAAGATGTTCATCATGATGCAGAGGCCTCCTCCTGATGGTTACGTTAGCATAAGCTTGCAGCAGTTGTTGGCCGCAGACCGTCACTTGTTTACTGTCGCAGCGGATCGCTTGCTAGGTAACCTTCAATGTGTGCCAGGGCGCGAGAAGCCTCTCGACACAGAGGTAAAGCGCCTAGCCGATTCAACCGAGATGCTTCAGTTTCTTACTTGTCTTCCGAAAGCAACGAGCCCTCCTCCTTTAAAGCGTCCTTGGGAGAACGACAAGGGAGGCCAATGGAAGGCCGATGGCAAAGGAGGGGAAGGCAAGGGACGAAAGGGCAAGCACAGGGAGGGTAAGAGCACAGGCGATGCGCCGCAGCTTCCTCCAGGGGCCAAGGCAAAGCATGACGACAAGCCAAATTGCTTTGGCTACAATCACGGAACTTGCAAGTTCAAGGTGAATAAGAAGAACAGATGCAGCGGAGGCTTTCATGTCTGTTGGTTTTGCGGAAAGCAGCACCCGGGCCATGAGTGCCCGACAGCGCCAAGTAACTGACCGACTGTGCGTGGGGTTGCATCTGGCCCCAAAGCTTTCGAAGCTGACAATGCAGATGCATGCATGCCCTCTCCTGAAGTCCTTGCTGAATCTTTACTCGCCAAAGGCGTTTTGCAACAAGCTGACATCCTCAGGCTGTATGCAGCTCTTCCTAGTGAAGTTGTGACGCGCAACACAACTGAAACCGAGGGCAGGGCCTTCGGTGTCGGAGCATGGATTCATAGAGGCGTTGGCGGGTTGCGCCAGAACACGCACCTTTTCCCTTTGACTTGCAGAGTCCTGTGTGCTTCTGTTAGGCAAAGGTGCGCCCTTCACAATTTTTCGTCACTAATCTTGCTTGAAAACAGTCAGGCAGGCTTACATACAGATTCGCACAACGATGCCTCTTCCTTGAATGCTGTACTTGCCATAAGCAACTTCGAGGGGGGGGAGATTTTTGTAGAGAATGAACTGGGCTCTCACCGCCGCGACTTCGAAGGCGAAACACTGCGAGGCGACATTTTGTCTCCTCAAGATGGCCCCGCTATCTTTTCAGCGAGGCGTTGCAGGCATGCGGTGCTTCCTTGGCAAGGGTATAGGTTGGTGCTAGTGGCCTATTCAATCAGGAGCATCGACAAACTGCCTGGCTCGGATATCCAAACGCTAACCGCTTTGGGTTTTCCGCTTCTCTTCCCCTCTTCGCAAGCTCAAGCTGATCTCCAGGACCAGGGTTGCCCTAAAGGCCAGGCTTGTTTCTTGGAGCTTTTTAGTGGCTGCGGCTCGCTTTCGCGAGCGTGCATGGATCAGGGGTTTGATGTTGTTCCCATTGACCACCAGGCTCGGGCACCTCTGGCACCGACTGTCCAGCTTGACCTGACGCATCACGGTTGCCAGGAGACATGCCTTAGCTTGCTTCGCAGTCGCAATCCTTGCGCCATCCACATGGCACCGCCGTGTGGGACCTGCTCGCGAGCTCGCGAGAGGCCAATTCCCGCATCAGCCAAGGCGATTGGTGTGCCTGAACCTGTTCCCTTAAGGTCCGCCGACCACCCTTTAGGGTTACCTTCGCTGGACCCGGATTCCCTAAATGGCCAGCGCTTGCAATCTGCAAACAAGTTGTATGACTTTTGTTTTCGCGTGCTCACCTGGGCTCTTGAGGCGGGTGCTCAGATCACCATCGAGAATCCCACCAATTCGTGGTACTGGTCCATACTTGCTTTGCAAATCCGACGTTGCAAGGACGCGCAGCTTGAGGCCCGGCTTGTTGCGATGCAGCCGGTTGTCTTCGACATGTGTATGCATGGTGGATCCCGCCCGAAATCCACCAAGCTTCTTTGCAGTTCCCGGTCCCATGCTTTTCAGTCGCTGGCCCTTGCGTGCGATAAATCTCATGAACACCTTCCTTGGAGTGTCAAGTGGGCCAAATCAGGTTGGCTTTTTAGTACGCACCTTGAGTCGGCTTACCCGGCGGTCCTTGCCGAGCGCATGGCCGCGTGTTTCAAGACAGCAGCTGTCAGTGCAGGGTGGGCTTGCATCCCACCGCATGTGCCCAGGCTTCATGCTCTCGCAGCACAGGGCCGTCAGCATCGTCGCCACCCGCCGTTGATATCTGAGTTTTCCTGCATTCGTTCTATGCGTAGAGATGAGATTCCGACAACAGGCTGCAAAGCCCTGCAGCCTCCAATTGAGGGGGTGAGTTCGGGGAGTGAGCTTTGCAGGGTTGGGTTTTATCGCAGCCCAGAGCAATGGTTGGACGAGGCCGCCAGCCTCGATCACCCAATGGATGTTGCTGCGGCCCTTCCGAAAATCACGTTGGATGCCATCTTAATGAACTTCTCTTCTGATCATAAGTCTCTGGCCCTTAAGCGTAAGATTGCCTTGATGAAGGCCGAGATCCTCGCTAAAAAGCTTGAGAAGGATGAGGAAGCTTTGCATAGATCCATGCCAGAATGGATGCAAGGTGTTGTTCATGACCAGCGCATCCTCCTTTGGGAAGCGTTGCTCCGCCAGTCTGATTATGATGACATGGAGGTTGTTGATTTCTTGAAGCAGGGTGTCCCGCTTGTAGGTGCCTCGGACTGCCCAACGTGTTTTGAAACCAAGGTGAGGCCGGCGGTTCTAACGGAGGCAGAGTTGCGGGCAGCGGCCCCCGACTTGCGTCGTGGAATGATGTCCAGGTCCTTGCATCAGGAGCCGGAGCACACAGCCCATCTTTCGGATGCCACTAAAGAGGAGCTCGCTTCGGGGTTTATCCAGGGACCATTTACAGAACAGCAGGTTACAGCTCATTTTGGGCATCGGCATTGGCTGGCCATCCGACGTTTCATCATCAAGCAGGGGCCAAAGCTTAGGCCAATCGAGGACTGCTGCGAAGCACATCTGAACGAAGCCTATGCAGCCACCATCAAGCTCCGATTACAAGATGCGGATTTCTTCGTTGCCATGGCACTTGAAGTAGCTCGTCTGTCGGGCAACAATCCAAAGGCTGCCCGGCCTTGGGTGGCTAAGTGCCTCGACTTGGCCAAAGCGTACAAGCAGCTGCCTGTAGCAGGTTGTCACAGAGATCTTGCGGTCATCATGGTAGAAGAAGAAGATGGGAGTCACTCGTTTTAGGATCGACTTCAACGGTCTTTGCATTTAACCGGGTCTCTAGGAGCATCTGGTGGCTCCTGACGAAGGTGTTGCGTATTCCATGTTCCCATTTCTACGATGATTTCCCGATGCTCGTTCCTGAAGACATGGGTTCAGAAGCGGACGCCAGCGCCTCAAGGTTCTTGTCCCTCCTTGGTTGGCGTCATGCCAAGACTGGGGAGGGAGGCAAGGGTCATCCGTTCATGAGCAGGTTTGACGTCTTGGGGCTGTCAGCCGATGTGGCCAAGCTGCACCTTGGCACCTTGGTTCTTTCCAACAAGGAAGGCCGTGCGCAAAAGATCCAAGACCTTCTCGGCGTGGTGTCAGGTGAAGGCCACATCACGAGGAATCAAGGACAAATCCTCTTGGGGTTGCTTCGTTTTGCATCAGGGTTCTACGGAGGAAGGACGTTGAGGCATGTATGTGCTGACCTCAACCGCTTGGTGTTTTCGCGCGACCATGTCACTCCCCAGCGGCTTCGAGCTTTGTCTGACATGGCTTCTAAAGCATTGACGACACTTCCGCCGAGGACGATAACCTTTGCAGCTCGCAGGCCTCTTGTGCACGCCTTTACTGATGGGTGCTGGCAAGACGGGGTTGCGGGGCTGAGGGCAGTAGTCTTCGACTGTGCAACGGGTCGTGGCCGTGTCTTTCAAGGCAAGCTCCCAGCCAATCTAGTGAAGGCTTGGCTCAGCGAAGTTGGTGAGCAGATCATCGGCCAGATAGAGCTGTACGCAGTTCTGGTTATGCGCTTCTTCTTGAAGGATGACCTAGCAGGCCGCCGCACAGTTTTCTGGTGCGACAACGAAGCTGCCAGGTTTGGCCTGATTCGAAATGAGAGCCATAGCCGCTCCATGGATGTGATGCTTCGCGCCTTCGCTCGAGTAGAAGATGAGAGCTTGAGTTTCACTTGGATTAGTCGAGTTCCGTCTGCTTCAAATCCTAGTGACGCTCCCTCGCGTGGGGACGGTCATTCGGTGTTGCAGCTGAGTAGAGCCACTTGCGTAGAGCCTTTTCCAGACTCTCCGGACAACCAGTCTTTGGCCATCTGATTCGTGGTGAGAGGGGCTGTTCAGACTCATCAGGTCATCCGCAGAAACGGGACTGCAATCGGATGGCCAGTTGCTTGACTCTCAAGCTCGTTACCGAAACTCGTCTGACCCCTTTCCGGCTACGAAAGGAAAATGAAGGCTTGTCCGAGTGAAGCTGAGAAGTCACTGAGAAGGGTTGTGAGTGTGCTGTGCGCGTCATTGATTTATATATATATATATATTCTGAGTGATTGTCTTGAAGATAATGATTGAAATAACTTGGAATCGTGGAGCTTTTTATTACTATGCGAAGAACCTACACACTCACCAACAGGACACAACGCAGGTGGCATCTTTGTGCTGTCAGGAACATCTTCTTGCTTGAGAATAGTTCGGGCCACTTCATCAATGTCCAGATCCAACTCTCGAATTCTCTTGTCCAAACAATTCCTTGGTATCGTCCTGCACTCAAAAGGCGAAAGGAAAACTCAGAAAGCCCTCGGTGGGACAGTTCCCATGCTCGAATGTCATCAATGGGCCAATGGGACGGCCAGCGAAGCTTTGCTTGCGGCTCCATTCAGTAGGTTGAACTTCTGTGAAAAGCTGATGGCCTTGCTTACCTACCGGCTGACGATCCCAAAACTTTTCGTCAGCCTGAAAAGAGGCAGGAACAAAGGCTTCGGAGCAGACGGCGGAGCAGCTGCAGAGGTAGTAGGGTTCGAAGACCTGCACCATGGTGAATCGTTGTCAGGCCAGCTTCGCCAGCTATCTGAAGACCAGCTTTTTCCTTGCTGCCACTTGTTCGAGCTATCGTCCCAACTTTCCCCGTAGTGGGAGGATGTTCGAGTTTTGCTGGCTTCTGCACCTGATGGGGCCCAACGGGCTCAAGGCTGAACATCAGGCTCTTTTTCCGAGCAAAACGAAAGGATTCCAGCCTGGCAGTTAATCGATCAGGATCGTTTTTGCGTTTACCTAACGCAGGTATCCGTCAGGTGAACCGACCAGGGTTCAGTTACTAGTAGCCGATCAGGGCTCAATCGAACGGAACCGTACAGGGCTCGAACCGATCAGGGTTCAATGTAGTAGCTCCTACCGTAGACGGCACGTTGAACGAACAACTGTCTAGATACACACTCGTACAATCCTTCCTCTGATTGACTTGTTTCTAAGGGATTCTCTTAATGACAGAGGTGAAGCTGGTCAGCCACTGGGCGGTTTTGGGGTTGTAGGCTTAAACCCCATGCCATAACACTGCAGAAAGCACTCGCAAACGACAGTTGCGATGCTCGCTGTGTGTTTGTCTTTTAGTCAGCGGTGTTTTCCTAAGCTTAACATGTCAGCTACGCCATGCACTGCGATGCTATTGCTCAAACCTTAGGAGAACACTTCAAGAGTCTGCGGCTCGCAGCCCAGGCCACCGCAGAACTTTGTTTTTTTTCACCCGCCCTCCACACCCGGGGGGAGGCTCTGCTCGCACGGCAGTACTTACCCTACTCGCATAGCACTGCACTGACTCTGCAACCCACGCCGTTAAAAAGAGAGAGTGTCCGCCTGCATCTTCTTTTCTAGGCATGGCATTGCATGTCTAACTTAGAGAACTGGCAGGTACGCTGGGTTGATCAGACCCAATATCAGCCGTGGCACAGCCCTCTTCGCTGGCCAACCAGCTATGCTCACAAGGTTGCCTCCCCTGCATTATTGTAAAAACACGGCATCCCACCTCTTGGTAACAGAGTTCCCCACACACACATCCGCACACACCCGCACGCAAACGCAGACAGCATCGTAAATGAGCGTGCCGGCATATGGTGTGCAACGAAATGCATCCCATCCCTTCATGTGCAGGTGTTTGCAATTGAGAGCCCCGAGTTCGCAAAAGGCGACAGCGAAGAGAGGCACGTAAATTTTCACTACGTCATTTATACGGTGGAAATGGGCCGCTTGATGCTTCAATCTTGGGATGGCGCGAACTGGACCACAGTGTGGTCACCGCCTGGTGGCCAGGGCCGTGTCTGGAATCGAGCTGACGTACGATTGCCGGATGATGCGCAAGCATTGCGCTTCCTCGGGATCACCAGGATCGGGTATGCAAGCGGGGTGGCGGTGGCTTTAGCTGTAGATTCGCTGCAGATTTCCAATTTCTCTACAACGGTCGCCGAATTGCCGGACTACGATACTGGGTTCTTGTTAGGGGATTTAATGTAAGTTACCATAATCCAGAAACCACATTATTTACTGTAGATCCCCGGAATGGTAACTCAAATTCAATCCCTTAACAAGAGCCCAGGATACCGTGACCTGCAGCTTTGAGGCCGACTTTTGCAGCTGGAGAGCCATGAACGACCAGGCGCGCGCTTTACATTGGTTTGCTTGCTTTCATGCCACGGTTTGAGGTTTAGGGTTTAGGGTTTAGGGACCTCTGCTTCAGATTTGGGGTGCCGAAACCAGGGAGCGGCAACTATTCGGTTCAAACGCCTCGTGAGATGCGTACTTGACTCCTCCATCTCGTGGCGAATCACGAGCCTTAAGCTCGAATCCGAAAAGGATCGCATGAATAAAAGAAGATCGTAAATAAGCTCAGCTCGAAGGCTTGGAGTGGCAACTTGTCTCGTAGCAGCATCTTTTCAAAACGCAGCCGGCTCCTCGGAGCAGTGCAGTGTCGAACCAGTGGAGGCTTGGATGCGGAGAAACGGCGCGACACCGAGCGCTTATACAGGACCCTCAGGAGCATTCGATGGTGGCCACTACATATACCTAGAGGCGGATTGGCCGAATTATCCCAACAAGGCGGGGGCCCAAGCATGGAGAATAAAAACAGAGGTTGCACAAGAAAGCCAACTTTCTGCGCTTTCTCTAGCTTGGCTTGCGAGCATCGGGCGGACTAGCAGCAGATCCCAGATTTCGTAAGTGTGTGTGGCGGCATATACGATCTTCAGGGTATTTGAGCCGTGACTTTTCATACATCCTTTCGTGTATCTAGCTTCGTCCAGGTCGGGGCCTGCGTACCACCTTTGTACAGGAGAGACGCGTGAGACAGTATGCCTTGGATGAGAAGCCTTGTAGCCATGATTGACCTGACAAGTGCTGTTGTCGTACGATGTCGGATGAGTTCAGAATCGTTTGAAGGGCACTCGCTCGCACAAAGATCCACGCTGAGAATTGCGAACACACCCGCGACATGGCACTCCTCTTGAGGGATGGGGCCAGGAGCGAGGTTGCGAAGGAGGTCTGCTGCATGGGCTCATGTCAGGGCTCCGCCTGAGAGCTTCATGAGGCTTCAACTGATCACGAGCCCCAAAGAATTCTTTCAGGACATTTGTTTGCAGATTTCGCCACGACGCTCCTGGTTAGTTGAAGCCCTTTTTGGAGAGCGTCACCACATCGGCCCCGACCACATCGACAGTTGACCCTGTGTTTTCCCATTCCGCTGCATGTCAGAGAGCAGGGGTTTCCCAACCAAGTTTCAGTCGTATCCCCCACAGAGTTGAATCCGTGGGCCCAAATCATTCGGGTTCAGACTTCGTGAACTTGTCGAACATGTCGCACACTCATACGACAACGGTTGACTGTGGGCAGATGTTGTACGCGGTGTACGTTTCATGCCAAGCTGGATATACGTGTCGTTTGATTGATAGAACTTCCACAGGACATGCTCTTCTACTTTTGTCTTTGAAAGCTTCATGGCCTCAGTTTTACATCCAAAGGAGGAGCTGAGATCATCAGTGCATCGGTGACATCATACGACATCGCTACAGCCCCACACTTTCACCAATCTTGGACCCTCTCCTCTTGGACTAAGTGTGGGCATATTGGTTTGCTGCTTGTCCTGTGTCTCTATGCAATTTGTTGCTGCAGCCGGCCTACGAGACATCTGCCAACAAACCGGAAGCAAGATGTTAAAGAGTTGAGTAAAGTATTGTGTCGTGCCGCTTTTTTTGCGTACTTCACTGAGAGGGCTCGTGTTAATACCGGCGCAGCCGGAACAGCAACATTGTGGCGTGCTTGTCGTGCCTTGTGATCTGCAAAGGAGTTTGTGCTGGAAAGCCCCATTTTCAGAAAGGGTGACGGTTCAGCGAGATATGTACATTTCCACTACCACATGTACGGGTTCGACATGGGCCAGCTGACACTGCAATTCTGGCACGGTATGCTTTGGACCACAGTATGGTCGCTATCCGGAAACCAGGGCGACAGATGGCATCATGTTCTCATGAGACTGCCGGATGATGCACAAGCACTTCGCTTCCTGGGCATGACCGGGATATATTCCGACAGCGATATAGCAATAGACAAGGTGCGAGCCGCGGCAGTTCCCATCGTTGCCATCGATGAATGCACGTCTCCGGCTGCTGCATGCGGCTGGACATCCACGGCTACCGTTGACCAGGTTCGGGTTGCGTCTATTCTCGGATGTCTGTCATGGGATCCATTTTCATGCCTGCCTGCGAGGTCAGCGGAGTGGTCCTGCAGATGTATGTGCACAGCTGCAACACAGACATGGACGGCACGTACGATTTGCAGGGTCAGACGCGTAGTGGACGGGCCTACTACAAGCTGTCATCTGCCAATGTCTACTTGTACCACGATCCCAGCTGTGATGGCAACTCAAGTTCACCAAGGTGGATTTTCGACAACAACTTTCCATCGCTCACTGCTTCCCAAGATCTGGACGGAGATGGATCGTGCAGCTATACAGGCGTCGCTTACAGCGACGATGTTGCGCCCCCACTGTTTGGAACATGGCTAAGCTGGTGCAATGATTCGAGCGGCTGGTCGAGCGGGTACAGGTTTCTGGAGGAGACACCCTATGTAAGTGTGCAGAGTTACAAGACGTTTTCTGACGCATTCTACTTGACTGCGATGTATGTCACCGACCGTGGCGATCCAAAGGCCTGAGCTATGCAAATGTTCAGAGTTTTCCTGTGTTTTCTGATGGTTGCTCTGACGCCGGCTAGTTGGAAGCCTTGCACTGTCACGTGCAGCGCAGGTCGGTAAGACACCAGTGTCAACACCAGTGCATAGGAGCCAACCTTCAAGTCCGCTAGTGCCGACTCTGCATTCTGGTAGCTTACCATGTAACAAGGATTCTACTGCTTTAGATCCATAAGCTCTGTGTAGTTAACAACAGCTGAACTGATTCCTCAGACAACTGTGCTGTGACTCGAAAGTGCTGCCTTGTGAGCGGCGTGCCGATCCACCTGAGTGCCTCTGTGGTTCCCTGCAGGAATTCCATTTGCAGAGCCCCTCTTTTTCCCAGGGCTCTGGTCTATATTTTGACTACCTCATGTACAGCCTGGATGGCAACTTCGGCAGCTTGCAGCTACAGGCCTGGGATGGTCAGAACTGGACTGCTGTCTGGTCACTCTTTGGCAGTCAGGGGAATTCTTGGCATCAAGGCACGGCGCATTTCTCCTCCAACAGCACGCGGTTGCGTTTTCAAGGATCCCTGGGAGCGTGGAAAACCGGAGACTTGGCAGTTCGGGCATTCCGCACAGCTGTCGCGCTGGAGGAGCTGGCTTGTGAGGACTTTCAGCTCAACGGCTTTTGGTTGGAGCCTGGCACTGTTGGTCCCAGCAGGGCCATGTGGAGAGCGGTGGACATCGGTTTGGAAGCCAGGGGCGCCGAGAGCCAAACAGCTGTACTTGACAGTGCTCAGATCAGCACCGTTGGTTCCGAGGTCGTGTTTTTTCTCAGCTTCCAAGTGGTGGGACCCACGGCAGCCCTGGAGGTGCAGCAGCTCACCGAGAACGGTTGGACGCATTTCCAGACCACAGCCATCGCCTCCTTTGGTTCCTGGCAGAATCTCACGGGCCCGATCTCGGTGCAAACACAGTCACTGCGACTGCTGGCGACCATGAACAGCACGACAGATCTGGTGAGGATCCGCTCCTTCCATTTAGACGTGGCGCAATTTGCGCGCAGTCTCGAGGATGCGGGGTGCGACTTCGAGGAAGGGTTTTGCAAATGGACAGGGGGCTGGCCGCGAACTGACGGCAGCAGTGAGGCGTTTCGTGGCCAGGCATTCGCCTCTGCATCGCAGGAGTGGTCTGTTGGTACAGCTACAGAGGTGCCTTCTGAACTCACAAGAAACGTAGGCCATGCCTCCTTTCTGAGCATCTCACTCATGTCCCTGTGCAGGTGCTCTTGACAAGCCCGCTTTTCCCAAGTGCCGACGTGGTCTACCTGGCCTTTGCCTTCTGGATGCGAGGGTGGGCACCCCTCAGTCTGCGGGTGGAGATGTGGATCTATGGCCTTTGGCAGGAGAGCTGGTCCGAGGCCGGCCAGCGAGGGGTGGGTTGGCAGCAAGTCAAGCTGCGCCTGCCAGCAACAGTTAATCGTGTGCGCTTCAGGGGCTATATGCCCGCTGACGTATCCTCCCGCATCGCAGTCGACCACATCATGTTGTATTCGCACGCCCACCCCCAAATTATGCCGGCTGCCATGGTCCTAGTTGGTGGGTATCATCACCAGTGCGCTCTGGCTTTCGGACAGCTCAAATGCTTTGGGAGGAACCGGGAGGGGCAGTTGGGCTATGGCAGTTCCGACGATGTAGGCGATGACCAGGAAGAGGTTGGTCTGCAACTGCCGGTGGTGGACGTTGGAGGTACGGTCTTACAGGCCTGTGTCGGACTTTTTCACACCTGCGCGGTTCTTCAAGGTGGCTCCCTAAAGTGTTGGGGGTCGAACGTTGTTGGACAGATAGGTTCTGGAAACACGGCTACCCTCGGTGATGATCCCAACGAGATGGGGGACTGGCTGCCTGCTGTCGATCTGGGCAATGGCACAAAGGTGAGCCAGCTTGCCTGTGGCAGCGGGCACACCTGCGTTCTACTGCATGACGGTGCCATCAAGTGCTTCGGGTATAATGGTGATGGGCAGCTGGGCTTGGGAGACACCATGCCGGGACCTCAGCTTAGAGAAGGACGGACAGTGGCTCATGTAGCCTGCTTTTTTCTTTCTTTGCAAAGAACCGTGGAGAGCAGAGCTGGCAGATGGGAGATGCGCTGCCCGCTTTGGATCTGGGCAGTTTCAGAGCAACCCAGGTCACAGCAAATTGGGCCCATTCATGCGCCCTTTCCTCCGAGGGGGTGGTTTGCTGGGGATGGCAGTTCCTCAGTTCGGAAATTATCAGCAACGTTTCTTCGCTTCCGACCATCGGCTTCGAGCTGGAGGCGACGCAGATCGCAACAGGCGAACAGCATGCTTGCATCCGTCTGGCAGATGGACGCATGCGATGTTGGGGTAACAATGAATGGGGTCAGCTTGGTCTTGGTGACACCGTGAGTCGGGGGGCCCACGAGGCAGCCGATGTCGACCTCGGCTTTCCGACGACACAGATCTTTGTGGGTTATTACTATTCCTGCGCAATGTTGCAGGATGAGAGAACCCTGTGCTGGGGTTGGAATGGAGATCGGGAGCTTGGGCGAGGCACTGCAATCCCTGTCTACGAAAGCCCCGGAGAGGTGCTCGTTAGAAAGGTGGAAAGCCTGTCGATGGGCAACGCGCACATCTGCTTTTTGCAGAGCGGAGGCGCCATCTCCTGCTTCGGTGCGAATGACTATGGCCAGTTAGGGGTGCCGACGGGCGAGGTGTCGGCAGAGGATGGAGCAGCACTGGTGCCCCGGCTTTTCAGGAACCGGACTCCAAGGGCCGAAGGCTTGGAGTCCGTTCGCTTGTCGGGAGGCTCCAGGACCTGGGGCTTCCTCGAAGTGCTGCGTGAGGGCACTTGGTCACCGGTTTGCGATGATGGCTTTGACGCGGCGGCTGCCATCGTGGCTTGCAAGGACCGACGTCAGCACATCATTCAAATTCATTTAGGAGCCAGTGGGAGTTGCACTTGACATCGGTTGACCAATCCCAAACTTCTGCAGGTCCAAAATCGTTAAGGCTCTGCCCGGCGGCACCTCCCTCAGAGTCTTCCTTGCCCCCTCTCTCTTTCTCGTGCTCAAAGCCAAGTTGTGGCGGCAGGACTTTGGCCTGGCTGGGGGCACACCTTTGACTTCCTTCTTCGTGCTCAACAACTCTGCCTTCGCTATCGATGACATCAGTTGCAATGGCACAGAACTGAGTCTTGGTGATTGTTCATTCCGGGGATGGCAGATCCATGACTGCGCGCCACAGGAAGCCGCAGGCGCGAAGGTTTGAGTTGTGCGCACCAAACGCATGCACCGTGCACCCAGATCGCATCCCGTGATTCAGATGCCAGCATCAGGGTGATGCCCTGAAGGGGTAAATTCCTGATTTTGTAAAGCGTCTTTGCACAACATATTAAGACTTCAAGCTGGAGGCCACCCTCTAAGTTGCAGACGACAGCTCCACAAACCCGGACTCCGCTAGATGCAGTTTTGTGACAGTGTCCGTTACTGCCCCAATGCTTCGAAGTGTCAATGAAGGTCTCACCAAGCGCCCTTGGCGAACGTATTGTCTGACTATTGAAAGTGCAATACATAATGCGCCACGAGAACCAGGGTTTCATTCGTCATTCGGGGCTTATTCAGTGGCAACCCTCCGAGCAGGAGTGCTGTGCAGCAGGGATGATTGGGGCGACTACACCGCTGCAGGGCCAAGGGCCCGGCATGGGCATAGTATGGTCTGGGATGGGGAGAAGCATGCCGCTCTCATCTTTGGGGGGGAGGCTGGCCGAAGCTTCGATTACTTTGAGGACCTCTGGCAATATCACTGGCCTTCCCGAGCCTGGACATTATTATCAGCCAGTGGTCCATCAACGAGGCCTGCACTGACACAAGAGTTCTCAAACATGAACTCTCCCAAAAGTCTGGCCACTGCCCTAGAGGGAGCATACAGCATAACGCAACAACTTGCCACGTTGACTCTGTCCGCGGTGTATGGTGCCTTGAGCTGCTTGTCCGTAAGTCGTCCTGATAGCTGCACCATTGTTGTGCCCGAAAAATGCGAAAGAGGAGGCAGCACAGGGAGCACTGGAAGGTCTTTCTCAAGGTATTGGCAACAGTCAGCGCAGGGTTTGCCTGCAGGGTAACTAACTAACCACAGACACGACCGCCAGGCAAGGCCACTCCGCCGTGTGGGACGGCGGAAGTCGATCGATGCTCCTTTTCGGAGGTGTCCACCTCGGTAGACACTTTGATGAACTTTGGCAATACCAGGCAGAGCTGGGTACAGTGGGGACCTGGCGACAGCTTCTGTTCGAGATGACGCCAGCAGCACGTGCCCACCACTCGTCCGTTTGGGACGTCGATTCTGGTGCGATGTTGGTGTTCGGAGGCGAGAACGGCGCAGCTTTGGGTGATCTCGTCAGGTGCAGTTTGAGCCACGAGGCCGGAACCAACATACACCCGAGGCCCTAACTAAATCAGCCGCAGAAACTGAGTCGTGAATCTCAGACCTCGGCCGAGGTCTGGAGCGTCGCTGCTTCGGGCCCAGCGCCAAGGAGCTAGCACTCTGCGGTCTGGGATCGGGTGACGCGACATGCCGTGCTTTTGCTTTGCCTATGCTTTGCCTGCTTGCCTGGGCCTGTGGCTAGGTGTCCTTGGTCTTTCGTTCTTGTTGTCGCCAAATCAGGTGACAAGGTCCATGCTCGTCTTCGCCGGCTGGAGTGGCAGCGCGTACTTACAGGACCTTCACGCGTACGACTCATGGGCGGACCGGTGGTGGGAGCTCTTTCCTGCAGGGAGCCCGTTTGCGAGGGCTCGACATGTGGCAGTCTGGCAGCCGGGTGCCATGTCCATGCTCGCATTTGCTGGAGTTCAAAACGTCAGTGGCAACTTGAGCTACGATGGCAAACTGTACCGGCTGCCTGGATGCATCTTCATGTGCAGTGCGGCAGTGCAGTGCAATGCCCCACGAAGCTCCAGCTTTTCCCTCTCGCAGATCGCTTACCCAGGTTTGACTTGCTGGCGGACGCCTGGTCAGAGCTTGCAACGACGGACGGCCCCTCCCCGCGTTCAGACCCACGCGGTGTATGGGACGAGGCTTCCAGTGCGCTTATGACATTCGGAGGCTCCGGTGCAGCATATCTCGACGACCTCTGGCGGTTCCCTTCGACTGAGCAATCAAGAGCAGTCGCGAAGTGCCCTGTAGGCCAAGACTGCGTTTTCGTGATGGATTCCCCGCTTCCTGATGTGTGGATTTCTGTGAAGCGATCATGCTTGGATTCAAAGTCACTGGCTTCAGCCGTGAGTTCGGATGGCCAGAGCTTCACATTCACAGATGACCAGACTGGTTCGCGCCGACTCCAGGTGGAACCTGGATGGTACAGGTTGTGCGCCTGTTTCCATAATGTCTCGCGATGTGATCAGCCCAATGACTTCACCTCAGCCTTTGGCTTCTTCATCAGTGAAGGTCCCTATGCCAACCAATCTCTGCATTGCTTTATGGGTCGGCCCTGTGTCTTTGCGTCCTGGCGCGGCGTGGGCTTGTCGGTGAATGACAGTCTGATCGCCATGAGCCAGTGTGGATCCCCCAATGCCTCCGTGACTTTTCGCCCCGAGAGTGCTGTTCGCCGCGTCGATCGTACCATGGATGCCTTCACGGTGGAGCTGGGGGAGCTGCAGCTGAATGGCGTACCAGAGACTTTGCAGTTGTGTTGGTGCCCACAAGGTCGTCCATGTGCATCGTCAGAGGACTACCAAGCGGTGGCATTTCAATTGCAAGTCCACTGTTCTCCTGGGCGTCATGAGTTTGGGGGTTCGTGTATGATCTGCCCAGAAGACTCGTTCTGCCCCGATGGCCACCGCGTTGAGAGCTGCCCAGCCGGGAGCACTGCAGTGGCCGGATCCAGCCCATTCCTCAGGATCCTTAGGTTGTAGCCACGGAAAGAGTATGTGTAACTGTGACTCCGGCTTTCCTGATGCAGCCAAGGTGATTTTTCGAACTGCCTGTGTGAGGCTGGACATTATATGCAGGAAGCCACGTGCCGAATGTGTCCATATGGCTCCACGACATCGCAGGCCGGAGCCGTGGCATCGAGTTCTTGCACATGCGCACCGGGATTTATCAATACTTCGAGCAGCCCCTCACAATGTGGGCCCTGTGGCTTTGGCTTTTTTTGCATGGGAGGTTTGCACCGGGAGAAATGCGAAGAGTCTCAAACCACGTTGGTGGATGTCGCCAGCGATCGCAGTCACTGCATGTGTGCCGCAGGAACGTTCCTGTTGGATGAGGTCTGCACGCCTTGTGCAGCAGGTGAATACAAGAGTGGCATTGGCAACCTGCCGTGTAGCAAATGCACAGCTGGAACATGGAGTGGTGCCATTGGTGCTGCCTCGGATGCAACTTGTCAAGCCTGCCGGTCCGGATCCACTACAGAGAATCCCGGCTCCTGGATTGAAGACTTGTGCATTCGTCCGCAGGGCGACCAGCAGCTTCGCTGCACGTCAGGCAAGGCTTGTTCCGTTCCACTAAGTGGGTTTCATCTTCGAGACGGTCACCGGCTAGCACTCACCATGTCGGAAGACTGCGACGGAGCAAAATTGCCTGTGGCCGGTGTAGCCAATGATGGTACTTCGAAGCCCGCCAGTGGTGAAGCAAACCTCTACACATGGGGCGACGTCCCTGCGGATTTCTTGCCAGAAGGTGGCACCTA